ATAAAACATTTTATGACAAAAGAGTTTGGGTGGGAAGTGAGTGAAAATTGGACAAATGACACCCAAATGCATTGTTTAAAGTTCTTTTCAAATTTATTTTACGATTTTGCGGCAATTTGTGAATGTTTACAATCTCATGAAACCTTTTCTTGGATTCGATACAGAATTTAATATTTAATGCATAAATTGTTTGACTACCAAGAAGAATCTTCGATTGGATAGAGAAATGTTGAAATTTTAATATTCCAAGATTTGTTTTGAATTGCTTCCCTTTCTTGCATAATTTTCACCTTTTCAATACATTGCCACATGGGAATTTCTCCTTTGATTCTAAATTCCTATCTTTGCTTTACTAAATTAATAATTAACGGATGCTAATGGAAATTAAACAAAGATATTTAAGATATTCGTTTGATAAAATCTGCAGCGCTTTGTTCTGCCTTAATTTAAATGGAATTTCTCTTTATTCGCTTTGGTCACTAACTGCAATTATTTAAGTTAAATGTGATTATAGCTGTTTACTATTTGTTGAATGGCTTTATGCAATGCAATAATTGTCGATGGAGATTTTGTAAAGCTTGAATTATGCATTAAAGAGTTTCAAATGTCTAACATCTTACGTGCAACTATGGAATAAAGTGACACAATTTCCATTCTTAATCGACGGTGAAGGGTTAAAAGTTTTAAATTTCTTATGTGATTTTCTTTTGTATTTGAACAGCTAAGTTATAAGTTTGAAAAATTTAATTGTGAAAACATTTTCTTGCCCTCACGTTTTAACAATAATGCTTTGAAAGTATAATTAGATTTCATAACATTTCATTTCATTTTTCTTGTCTTCTCAATGATAGTTAATTAAATTCCATTGAAATATTTATTTCTCAAATGAAAAAAATAACAATTTAATTGAATTTTTTTAAATTCTTTGAGATTTTATATTTTTCTGCTAATCAAGTTATTGTTGTAAGTAGTAACATGATAAATATTAATTTAATTAGTCTGAGATTTATAAACGGAAGGAATTACAATGAAGAAACAAGAAAAGCAAAAAAGAATTAATAAAAACTAACTAATTTAGTTGCCTAATTGTTAAT